TTTTTTAACATTTTTTATTGATTCATAATCATTTTACAGTGTTGTGTCAAATTCCAGTGTTCAGCACAATTTTTCAGTCATTCATGGACATATACACACTCATTGTCACATTTTTTTCTCTGTGATTTATCATAACATTTTGTGTATATTTCCCTGTGCTATACAGTGTAATCTTGTTTATCTATTCTATAATTTTTAAAGAGCTTCTCAGGAGATACTTATGATTACCAACTTTTGAGAATGACCAGTCACTTCATTCGAATTTGAAGGCTTCTGGCCTCTGACTGATCAGCCCTTTTATTATTCCCTGCTTTTCGCATCTGGAAGTTCTGGAGTCTCCAGGAATTCTCCAGGCAGAGTGCCACTGGCTTACATTGTTGTTTTAGTTGGTCTCTTTAGAATCTTTCCTTTCCTGTTCTTTCAACATTGATACAAAACTCAGCAGTCCAATGTAAAAATCCAGCGATCCAGCACTTGACTTTAATTTACTTAACAGCTTTAAATCCTAATAATACCATTAACTCCCTCTTATAGATAGGATGATAATTGGGGATAGACATATGAAAGAAACACTTGGATTTGGGCTACTGGGATATTTTAAACATCATTTCAAGAGTTTGCTACTCCTTTTCCTAACTTTTCTCAACCCTGGATTTTCTGTTAGCATTCCGGGGCAGACTCCTGGTGAGAGACCCACTTTTCCATTTTCTTTGTTCAAGGAGCATCATAGGAAAGAAGATGGTGGTGGTGGGGTGATGCTCAGGGAGAGGGAGGATATTTGGTCTCTGCACCTCAGCTATTTAGGGAGGAGCAAAGCACCCACTTGCCCTTCTGCTGGGCACAGTGGAAGTGACTTGTGCGGTTTTAATTTTTTTTCTCTCCCCAATTTTTCTTTAAAAAATTAATTTTAATTTAATTACATTGTAGAAAGAACGCTTAACCGGAGATCTACCCTCTTCAGTTTTTAAGTGTGCCATATGTATTATTGAAATAGGTAGACACTGTTGTACAGCAAATCTCTAGCGCTTACTCATCCTGCTCGAAGGAAACTTTATGCCTGTTGGTTAGCAATTTCCTATCACCCTCTCTCCACCAACCCCTGGCAACCTCATTCACCACTCCTTGATGCTATCAATTTGGCTATTTTAGATAACTCATATAAGTGGAATGAGGCAGATGTCTTTCCATGACTGGCTCATTTCACTTAGCATAATGTTCTTAAGGTTCACTCACGTTACTGCATATTGAACAATTTCCTCCATTTTAAAGGATGAATAGTATTCCATTGTATGTATATA